GTCATGGTTCACCCCTTCACCATCTATAACTTTGCCGCACCATTTATCTTCACGCATGTACATGCAGGACTTGGCTACACTGAGCTTGAAACCGAATTGTGCTGTCAGTTGTAGCAGTTATTGCAGTTTATCGAGGTACGTATCAATGTCCGCAGCATACAGCAGCAAGTCATCTATCCATACTAACAGGTGCTTAAACAACAGCGCCGCGTAGCACCGCTCGGTTGTTGACTGAAAATACAGTGCTGCATCAGCACTTCCTTGAGGGACCCGAGTAGGTGTGTAGATATTTCTGCGTGTCATGTAGGACACCAGTTCCTGGCACTCCTTGGCAAGCGCGAGCTGCCAGTACCCTTTAATGAAGTCAAACAGCCCAAAGTGTCTGCTACCTCTCACTTTCTCCAAGTCCACATGAAGGTTCGGCATAAGACCCGCCATAACCTCAGTCTGAGCGTTAAAAGGTTTGTAGTCGACAGTCTGACGAAAGCCACCATCGCCACGCTTGCGTAATGGTAGTGCAGCACAGACCCAGCGACTCGTTGGATTCTCGTACACCCACCCGAGTTTGACCAGCATGTCGTTAAACGACTCCAGAAACGCCTGGTATTCCGGCGCATACTTGCGATCCATCGCCTTGTATGGCCTACAACCCGTCTTCATCTTGATCTTCATCGACTCGACCTTTGCAGGGGGATCATTACCAAGTACGATTCTCCAGACATCGTACGCATCACAATTGTGCACAACCGCTCAAGTTTTTCGGCGGGAAAGCCTTCATCCAGTGCTCGCTGAAGCATTGCCTCAACAGCAACTCGGATAACCTCAGCGTCGTTTCCTCCTGCCATCACATCCGGCGTTTCTTCGCCATCATCTCCATCATTGCAATTCGGTGTCGCCAAAAGTTCCAATTGTCTCTCGACATCAATGCCAATAAACTTCAGCACGTCATCTCCAATGAAAAATTCATCATCATCTCTTTCCCGTACCAAACATGGCACAGGTTTGTTAATATTGACAGATCCTGCCGCTGTCATGAGCGACAACTTCAACTTTGTCGTCTCACGTGCCCACGTCTTCTCACCACGCGGCAGTCTGCACTCGATCGGGTTCTCCAATCGCTCAGCGTCACAATTCACACCTTGTTTTTTAATTTTCTTTAGAGTCGTAGAGCTGATACACGATGTCTCTGCCCCAGAGTCTGCACAGTATTCCACATCGACAACCCCATCGACACACAAAAATCGGGGGTTGCCCCGTTCGACCAGGTGGACACTAGCTAGTCCTTCTTAGCTTTACATTGCCTCCCTTTACTCGGCTTCCTGGTAGCAACGGCATCGGCTTCGGCCTTTTTGAGGCAGTCGACTTGCCGATGCTGACCTCCGCAGGTCCAACATCCTCCTTTTAGGCCGGGGTGTTTCTCTCTGAGTTGGTCCAAAATATTCGCGGTGCAGCCGGAGTTCCAGATTCGCGAACGACTCGCTTATCCCTCACGATTTTGGCTCTTTTCGATGGTCGTGAGGTTGCCGTTGGCTTCAGTTCCGTGGCCTGAGAACGTCTTTTGTTCCTGATCAGGAATTTGTCTTCACGGTCTATCTCCAAAGCTGTCTAACTCACGGCCTTGAACGGTACCGACATGTTGGACTTAGCGGCGGGAAATCTGAAGTCAATCTCGTTCTTCACTCGATTCTTCAATTCTCCAGGCAGGCAATTTAACAACACCTTACACTTTTTTCTTAGTTCCTTCCTCGTCTGAGAACAAAGTTACTAATCCATTGGTCTTCACAATCGTGATGCACAGATGAAAGTAGTCCATAACCCGTGCATCGATATCGGACTTGGTAGTCGACATCACTAACTGGTCTTGGAACAGCTCGTCAATGTTTGGTAAATCATTGTTTTTGAAGTTCCGTACTGTATCCATGACCCAGTTTCAGATAAACTCATCGGTAAGTTCATCCTTTGTCTTTTCCCATTTCGTCTCACACAACGTGTCGAGGAAGCTGTCGTCAAACGAGTTCTTCACAGAACGCATGACGGACTTCAAGTCTTCTCCTGACGAATCACAGCGCGCCCTCATGATCTCTTCGTACTCCAGACGTAGATCGACCCATCGGGTAACCGCTTCGTGCGAGATGTCTTCCACCTTCGGCGCCACAGTGACCGCAAAGATCGGGTGGGCAACCGTGGGGTAATCTAGTTCCAGGTTCGCAGTCCACGACATCGATCCAATGCTTGACCTGTTAGAAGCTGGTGGAGCTCCAGATCGTCGTGTCCTGTTTGCACCTCCGTTGAGCACGGGTTTCTTGCCCTTGCTCTGCGTTGGCTTGGCTTGGCCCGCTTGTTCCGTTGAAACACCGACCGTTGTCCTTGGTCGTGGTGCTTGACTTGTGTTGGTAGGCTGGTGGGTTGATCCGGCAGCACTCACTCCCTGCTGTGTTGCTGCTGCAGCAGCACCAGCGGTTACACTTGTAGTAGTTGTTTCCTTTGGAAACTAAAGATAACTTTGTAGTGGGATCCGAATGAACACACTTGCGAGGGAAGATAATACTTCCTTTGAACTCTTGCTTGTATTGTACTCTGCAAAATCCAGAATGAGATGGATCGCCACGGCGTGCGGCCGCTATCTGCTCTACGTTGATGTTGTCTCTCCCGGTTGCGACGAAGTCTTGCTGCTCTTTCCGTCGACGTTTCCCGAGCTCGCCATCTCTGACTCGCCAACCGGTTCCGCCTGCGCCGCTCCTCGTTATTAAGCACCATGCTTAAGTTGTATCGCGCGACACACTCCACGTTTACAAGTTCACATATCTGATATCGCTCTAATACCTAGTTGTGTTGTACAGTACAATACCCGGTTGACAATCATAAAATCAAGTTAAACAAAGTCGTCATTATTACTTCGAGTAGATCGAGGTAATAATGACGACTTTGTTTAACTTGATTTCGACGGCACGCGTCGAAAGAGGCTCCGTCCCAATTCCACAT